CATTACTCTACCATGTGGAACCCGAACTTGATCCTGGTTTTAGCCCAGGTGTTTCTCAGCAAACAGCTGCAACTCCCTGGCCATCCTATACCACAGAACTTCTTAATGACTTTCCTATCTGGGAGACTCTTTCCTGAGTCAAGTCACCTTCTCGAGTGTGACAACACCCACCCCACCCTTGGAGTCACATGGAGAGCCTGGCTGAGGCACCTTCTTTCAGTCCCCGCCCACAGGGGGGCAAGGCACACCTCAATTCAAATACCACTGGGTCCCTCTGTCTTCTCCAAACCAAAGTCATCCCAGGCTCTGAGAAGGAAGACCTTGCGCTCACGCATTTCCTGAGGCAGACAACTGGGCTGAGAGGTGGTCCTCTGCTGTGCCATCCTGAGCCCCAAACGGAAACCAAGGTCCTCAAGAATAAAGGGGTGAAAGTTAAGTACAAAGTGTCCCTGCTGGGGCTGTTGACTTTCCTACGGCTTTAGATTAGAGTCATACCTGTGTCTCTTGATGTGGCTTTTGGAATTGGTTTCTTGCAACATTCTCTACTGTTCATCTAAAGTACATTAGAGAATTGGGTGTTAGGCTTCGCATGTTACCTGTTGTATACAGTGTATGTAAGTGGACTCTACAGTATCTAATGGGTGATATATGTGCAACATAACAAGCAATATTTTATGTCAAGGGACTTATAGAATCTATACTTAATACAGATTTATACCTAAATGTCTCAAGAGGTAGCTTGGAGTAGTGGGTAGGGGGCTGACTTTGGAGCCAGGAGACCTAGGATCAAGTCTTGGCTTTGTCCCTTACTAATTATGTGACCTTGGACAAGTTACGAAACTTGGTGAGCCTCAGTTTCCTTATCTGTAAAATGGAGAAAATAATAGTTATGTTATATACCTCATAGGATTGTCATTAAGATCAAACTAACTATATATAAAATACTTTTGAAACTTATATAACTGTAAGCTAAGCTGCTGTTGATGTTATTTGTAATTATTTTACCATATTAAATATTTCATTTATGTGTTATGTGTAAAATGCAGTATAGCTATAGATACACAGTACATATATGCACACATATATATAGTGCATATTTACTTGCATAATATACATATATATGGAGTGTTCCTAAAGTTTTAGGGCAGTTTTAAGCCATTAAAATTCTTTGACGGGGTAGGTAGGTGGCCCAGTAGATACAGCACTGGACCTAAGTTCAAGTCTAGCCTCAGACACTTAATAGCTGTGTGACCCTGGGCAAGTCACCTAACCCTGATTACCTCCCTATGGGGGAAAAAAGTTCTTTAATGGTCTTAAATGGCTTTTAAAAGTCATTTATTTGCTTGAAGCTGCACTAGGACTTTGGGGACACCCTGTGTGTATATGCACATACATACATATACAAATAGATGTATATTTGAGAGCTCATGGGGATCATCAGATAGAAATATGTTTTCACATCCAGGAAGACTTGTATTCAGGTCCAGTTCTGACACATGGGCTGTATAACCCTGAACAAGTCATGCAATGTCTTAGTGTTCTGGGCACTTTGCTGAAACTGTATGTTGCAAAGAAAAAGCCAACATGCTTTGGAAGAGGGAGTTTCACTGTCTGAAAATTCCGTTTTCTATATGGACAGTTCCCTATTCATATAGAGAGACAGATGGTAGCTAGCTAGCTAGATAGGTAGGTAGACAGGCAGGCAGACAGAGACAAGACGGATGGATGGACAGAGAGATGGATGGATAGACAGATAGATGATAGAGAGATAAACACATATGTAATCTATATTGACACACATATGTATACTCTCTAACACTATAAGTGACAGAACCAGTACCTCTCTGTATTGATACAGGGGGCCCCTCACTGGGAGCTCCCTAAACTGATTAAACCACAGGTCCGTCTCAACTCACATATTATATAGTTTATATTCTGTATTCCATATTAGCTATGCCACTAATCAAGGACTTTCAACTTTACCTATGTAGGAATTCTCATCAATGATGCATATCACAACTGGTCTATATGCAATGATGCCTATAGCACCACAGTCCACTATACTGTGCTTGGGAGTTGCTTGGTACTTAGAGAAGCTAGGACATTTGCCCATGGTCACACAATTAGCAGGTGCCAGAGGCAGGACTCAAACCTACATCTTCCTGCCTTGAGTCCAACATTCTATTCACTACACCACTGTAAGGTTCATAATATGTGTATACTCATGTAAAGAAATGTACACACAGTAGTTTTATATAGACATATGTGTGCCTATGTGTGTTTATATACACGTGTACATACAAATGTATGTACATATACACATATACATGTATGTATAACTATCTCCCTGCAAAGCTGCTTTATATGTGTTGCTATATACACATATACACAGTGTATATGTGTGTGCATATACACATTATATATAATGTGTACATATATACACATAGTATACATATGTAAATACATACATATCTACAGTATGTATGTATACACTTTTGTTGTTGAGTCATTTCAGTCATATCTGACTCTTTGTGACCCCATTTGCAGTTTTCTTGGCAAAGATATTGGAATGATTTGCCGTTTCCTTCTCTAACTCATTTTAAGATGAGGAAACTGAGGCAAACAGGGTTAAGTGACTTACTCAGGGTCACACAGGGTCACAGACCAGAATTGAACTCATGAAGATGAGTTTTTCTCATTCCAAGCCCAGTGCTCTATCCACTGCACCACCTAGTTGCCCTCTTGTATAAAACACAGATGTTTATGTGTATATATGTATATGCTTGTATATGTACGTGTATATATATATATGTATATGTATACGTACATATGTGTATGTGTGTGTATATCCACTGGGCCACCTAGTTGCCTCTGTCAAAGAATTTTAATGGCTTAAAATTGTGCTGAAACTTTGGGGACACCCCATGTATATGTATGTTACGTATATGCATATGCACACAGATGTATATGTATATATGTACTGTGTATACATGTGTATGTATATAGACATACATACATGCATATATATTTTATATATGTATGTATATGTGTATGTGTGTGTGTGTGTGTGTATATATATATATACACATATACATATATATGCTTCCTAGGGATCTCTAGCAGGTATACCTTTCAACCAACCATCATCTTTGATAATGATAATGATGGTGATAATTAATAATATATTTATTATTTTTCTAGTCCTAGCTGTGCCACTAACTGTGTCATTTCCTCTCTCTATACCTCAGTTTCCTTAACTGTAAAGTGAAGGGGTGATAGAGTGCTTCCTAAGGAACCTTCTGTCTTTCACATTCCATGATTTTATTTCTTGTTTTCATCTGATCTTAATATACTATACTACTTTGGCCACCAGTCAAGTATGTTATTTTTATCTGTAGTGGTGGTTATTGTTGCTGTTATTTTTAATCAATTTTGAAGAAAGCAGTGTTGTGTAACTCTGCTCTTAGCCTCTGCGTGGGGATGTGTATATATGGTGTGTCATTATTTTCTTTATAATTGCTGTTTTGCTAACTCTGACCCATGTTTCATTTGCTGTGTCTTCCCTTGTTGTATTATATCCCTATAATCACTCATTCACACACATATACACTAACACGCACACAGAGTTTAGTTATTTTCTATTTGTGGTTTAAAACAAATAGTAACAGCAGCGGCTGTTCTTGGGATGCTATCCAAAAGTGGAATGGACTGCCTTAAGAGACAGTGTATTATTTTTCCTCATTGGAAGTCTTCAAATAAAGCCAGAACGATCATTTATCTGCTATGTTATATAGGAGATTTTTCACTAAATATGGGTTTGCATTAAATGGTCTCTGAGGTACCAGCTCAGGGGTTTTATGATTCTAAGAAGCTAAGTAGTATAGGGGACAGAGTGCTGGACCATGAGTCAGGCTGCTTCTGAGTTCAAATTCTGCCTCAGACATTTACAATAGGATCCTGAGTAAATCACTTAACTTCACTGGGCCTCAGTTTCCTACGTGTAAAATGATATGTTTGGACTTGGTGGCTTCTAAAGGCCCTTACGGGACTAAATATGTTATTTGGGTTCATTGTTTCTTTTTTTCCCTTTCAATTGATAAGCATTTGTTTTCTCTTCCTCCTACCCCAATCTCCAATCTAAAATTAAAAAAAAAAAAAAGGAAGAGAAAGAAGAAAGAAAGGAAGATAGAAAGAAAAAGACAAGAAGAAAGGAAAGAAAGAAAGAAAAAGAAAGAAAGAAAGAAAGAAAGAAAGAAAGAAAGAAAGAAAGAAAGAAAGAAAGAAAGAAAGAAAGAAAGAAAAAGAAAGAAAGAAAGAAAGAAAAGGAAGGAAGAAAGAAAAAGAAAGAAGGCAAAACCTTTGTAACAAATGTACACAGTCAAACCAACACATTTGCATATTGGCCATGTCTCATTCTACATATTTAGTCCCTTTTACTCACAGTGGTCATTGCTCCCAATTCCGCTCACGGAGGCCAAGCCAGACAGAGTCTATCCCCTCCTCCACACAGGAGCATAAGGCCAGAAGTGGAAGCAACCTCAGAGGCCATTTTGCCCAACTCCTTCATTTTACAAATGAGTGCCTTTAAGATATGTGAAGAGAGCTACCGTGTCTCCCCTGAATCTTCTCTTCTCCATGCTGATGATTCCTGGTTCCTTCGACCAGTCCTCATATGGAGACACTTCACCATCTTGGTGAACATTGTGGCAGTTAGCCCTAGAAGAACAATTGTATTTAGTGAGCCATCATCACATCTGCCGGCTGGCTGAAAGGGACCCCCTTTCCCCTTGGGAAAGGGCAGCCCCCTCCCTATTGGTGAATGTGCATTTGCCCAGTTGCCCTCTGGGATGTTTCTCCTGTCACCCCATGGCTGGGTCTTTCTTGACCTCTATGTTGGAGAAGGAGGTTAGGGAGAGAGGGAGGGAGGGAAGAGGAAGATCTCTTTCCAGTTTCCATTGTCTGTTTTTGATTGTTTGTAATTCTGTCCTGCACAGGCAGGGCTGTCTGAACCTCTTGGAGCATCCCCCATCCCAGCCGTCCATCACCTCGTTAGTGCTTCATAGCTGTGGGTCCAGCCTGACTGACCTAGAGCTGGAGCTGGTACAAAGGAGCAGTGTCCCTGCTTTGGCCTCAGCCCTCACGATGACGAAGTGGACTTCCTTCAGGGCCACTGAGACCTCAAAACCTGCAACCCATTGGTGCTCCTTTAGGCAAAGGCGGCGCCTGACGCTCCCAGTCAGTGACTCCCTCAGTGGGGCCCCAGACATAGGTACTGGTTCTGCTTCCAGTGGACCTGTGCGGAAAACAGACAGGAGGTTGTCAGCATCCTGGCCCAGGGCCAGACGCCCTCCAGCGTTAAGTGACCATGCCTCTGCCCCTGCTCCCAATGGTGAGACTATAACTTTGAGCTTGCAGTAAGTAGAGTTTAAGATTATATGTAAGGGAGTGCTATCAGATCACAGTGGTTTGTCCTTCCTGCCCACAGTCTATGGAGATGGGCCATGAAATGAATGGGCCTCATCGGCCTGAGCTCAATGAACCAATTAATCCACAAGCATTTATGAAGTATCTAGTCTTTGTATTCCTGGTACCTAGCTACAAAAATGAAACCGTTTCTGCCCTCAGGGATCTTACATTTATCCAGAAGGGAGGGAGGACCCCACCCCCAACACACACACAGGTCTACACAGAATACTTTTTTTTAAAAAGACACAAAGCAGTTTGGGAGGGAGGGGAGTAGCAGCTGGGGGTGGGGCTGGGGTGAGGATATGAGTGTGGATCAGAAGAGGCTTTCTGTGGAAGGTGGGGTCAGGAATTTCAGGAAGGTGGGGTCCAGGCCTGAGGGCCAGCCTCTGCCAAGAAGGCCACATTGACCTGAGGGTGAGAAGAGCCATGCATACTAAGTCTGGGAAGGTCAGTGAGACCAGGCTGGGAAGGGCTTTAAACGCCACTGAGATATAATTTCCAGTTCCGACATCTAAGATTCTAGCGTTCTTCTAGGTTTTGCTCAAAGACAGAGTATGACCCAAATTACTGTGTGATTTCCTTTCTAGGCTATAATTTGGTGATTAGGTATATGTAAACACATAGAAGGCAACGTGGTCCCCAGGCTCCTGGCCAAATGTTGGGAATGAAATAACTGGTCCTAGGAGATAGTCATCAGAATGTTACAGTCAGCTGACCTGGGTTCAAATCCTGGCTCTGCCCCTTCTTTCCTGTGTGACCTTGGACAAGTCACACACTAGCATACTAGGCTTCAGTTTTCTCAACTGTCCAATGAGGGACTTAGACTAGATGACCTCAAATGTCCCTTCCAGGCTCAAAATCTACAATCTGTGAATCCCAGTGGAGGAAGTGGACAAACAATACCAATAACTCACATTTTTCTGGGCCTGGGCCTGGGCCTTCTTCTGTATTTTTGTTTTTTGGTTGTTTCAGTCTCATGACCCCATTTGGGATTTTCTTGGCAAAGATACTGGAATGGTTTGCCATTTCCTTCTTCTCCAGCTCATTTTACAGATGAGAAAACTGAAGCAAACAGGGTGAAATGGCTTGCCCAGGGTGAAACAACTAGTAAGTGTCCGAGGCCAGATTTGAACTCAGGAAGATGAGTCTTTCTGACTTCAGGCCTGCTGTTCTATCTACTGCACCACCTAGCTGCCCACCTTCTTCTGTATAGAGGATTCTTGATGTGAAAAATTCCTTCCCCCAATGCAGATCAGTGACTTTCCTCTAGCTTATGGTCTGAGCAGGTTGCCTGGGAGCACTGGGTGCCATGGGTCAGACAATCAGTATGTGTCACAAGCAGCACTTGAACCTAGGACTTCTTGACTCCAAAGCCAGTGCTTGCAACACATTGTTTCTCAGTTCCCACTTCAGCAGAGCTTTAAGGTTTACAAAGTGCTTTCCTCACAAAAACCCTGTCAGGCAGGTAGGAACAGATGAAGAAAGTGAGGTTCAGACACAAAGCTCATAGAATCATAGCCTTAGACACTCTGTTGTGTTACAGGTCATCTAGCCCACCTATATCATTTTACAGATAATGAAGGAAGGAAACAAGCATTTATTAAGCACTTGCTGTATGCTAGTCACTATCCTAAGTAACTGCTTTACAAATATCTCATTTGATTCTCACAACAACCCGGGAGGATCGTGTGCTATCACGATCCCCATTTTACAGATGAGGAAACGTGAGTCAGACAGTGGTTAAGTGACTTGCCTAGGGTCACATAGCTACTAAGTATCTGAGACCACATTTTAACTCAGATCTTCTTGACTCCAGACCCAGTGTTTTATCTACCATGCCACCTAGATGCCCCAGATAAGGAGAACTGAGTCCCAGAACTTATAAGCACTTAGCCCCCAGGTGTCACAGCTAATAAATGTTTAAGCTGGGATTAGAACTCTGGTCTTCCTACTCCAAATCTATAGCACTTTTTTATAACCCTGTGCTGCTTCTAACTAATTAATCTGCAAGTCAGGGAATGTTTTCTGTGTTCAACTCTGTGCTAAGAAATTTAGGGAACAGAAAAAGTATGTCCTAGTTCCTCTAGAAGCAGCAACAGCCAGATCATTTCTCGTCCCTTTCAAGGATCATTTTCTATCCCATTCCATTCCTCAAAATGCAGCCAGAAAGATCTTCCTAAAAGCTAGCTCTGATTATCACTCCTGTTCTTGAAAACCTCCACTAGTTCCTAATTGTTGACCCAGTTAAACCCAAACTCCTCTGCCTGGCTAAATGACTTATATCCTATGATAGATTTTTGAGTTTGAAAGGACTTTCAAGGTCATTTAGGCCAATTCCCTCATTTTACAGATGAAGAAACTGAGGCAGAGATGAACTAACTTGACCAAAGTCATACAGGAACCAAGTGGCAGTTTGGGGATTTGAATCCAGATCCCCTAGAGTCCCAAATCCAGGACTCTTTCCATTGTACTACACTGCCTCCTTCTATTCTCTGGCCCTCAACCTATCTTTCTAGCCTTATCTCTCACAGCTCCCTGACATCTACCCTGCAATGTAGCCAAACTGGACAGTTTGCAGTTCCCCAAATATGCCTGGAGTTTTTCTGCTTCCTGCCCTTTGCCCATACTTGTCCTTCCACCTGGCATGCCCTCCTCTGCCGCCTTTCGCCTACTCAAGTCCTTCCCAGTCTTCAAGGCCCAGCTTAGATGCTGCCTCCTCCATGTAGCCTGATACAATTCCTCCAGCCTTTAATAACCTCTCCCTCCTCTGGGTCTGTTTGCACAGTATTTGTGTTTCTCTGATAGCCCTCATCAGGTTCTACATTGCATTACACTAATACATGTCTGTGTACCTCAACTGCAGACACGTTGGCAAGGAGCAACATCCTTTTGGGCCCCAAGGTGTTGTGGAAGGGGCAATGCACAAGAAGGCAAAAGACCTGGGTTCTCTATCACCCAAAACCTGGAACCCTGCCTCCCCATCACCATTGACTTGCTTATTACTTGTGTTTCATCACCTCTCTGGGCCTTGTCTACAACACAGGGATAATAGTAGTTTATCTGTCTGAAGGCAGAAGGCTGGATGAGATGATAGGGATAAGGAGAACAGGAGGTGGGAATTTGTGAACCAATGGATGGGGAAAGAACCAAGTGATCGGGAGCCTGGGATGACAGAGCATAGCGTCCCAATGCGGAAAGGGAGCTCAGCTTCCACAGATCGTTACTGAAAACCCTGAGTAGCTAGGGGGAGGAAGTGTCAAAGAACTGGGGGCAGGTGCCTGCCTGGGTCAGTAAACAGTTACTGGTCGAGGCCCACACTCAGCCCACCAGGGTTGGGGAAAGTCCGTTGGATCCATGCTCAGTACTAGTGGCTTGGCCTCATTGAATGGTCCTGGGGAAGGTGAGGAGGGACAGCCTGCCCATGAAAACCTAGGCCCTCCGGTAACTTTGGTGCTATTATACTCAGGATTGTGGGGATCATGTACAAGAGAAGAGGACCGAGGTTCATCACTACGACCTTAGGCAAAGTGGCCCAACCTCTCTGGTCCTCAGTTTCATCTGCCAAATGAAGGGTTGTATTAGATGTCCTCTAAGGTCCCTTGCAGCTCTACATTTGTGATCTCATCATGTCATAAGGTCTCTTCTAGCTATAGCTCCTGTGGTTCTATACTGCTCCAATGCCTGGAGCATGGCTCTGTCCTTGATTCTATACATGATCCAACCTGGGTGCACATTCTTGCCATAGCAGTGATTGGGACTTCTCCTGGAGACCACTTTCCAGACCATATTCCAGCAGGAAGTCCCCAGATAATTGCATCTGACTGGTTAGAAGGGGACCCAACAGATTGGACAGGCTGATAGGAACCCCTCCTTCATCTTCAGGTGCCCCACTTCAGCCTGATGGAGATCAAGTTTCTCCCACTGGTCTTCAGGCTCCCTGGTCCCAGGGGATAGCCACCATAATATCATACATAAGGAACCATAGGATCGTAGAGTATCAGCTCTGGTAGGGACCTTAGTACACAGAATGTCAGAACTAGAAAGGAACTTAGAACATAGGATGTTAGTGTTGGGAAGGATTTTACAGGCTATCTGGGATAGGGATTCTTCATGTTTTTTGTGTTCCAGACCCTTCTTTAGCAGGCTGGTGAAGCCTATGGGCCCTTTCTCAGAATAATGTTTTTAAATGCATAAAGTAAAATATATAGGATTGCAAAAGAAACAAATTATATATGTGTGTGTGTATATACATACATGTATATGTATAGTTATATAGTCTATGAATTTGTATATATGGATACATGGACATACATATATATGGATATATGCAAGTACATGTGTATATATCGTTGTGTGTGTGTAGCTCATGTTTTAAGAACACTTGATCTAGTCCAACCCTGTTATTTTATGGGACAGAAAACTGAAGCCCAGAGAAAAGATGTGCTTTGCCCTTATTATTTAAAAAATAATAATAATACTAAAGGTTATATCTTGACCCCAGAAAAGAGATAAAGAAGTGCTTTGGTCCTTTCAGCAGAGAGGTGGGGGACGATGGGTACATAATGCTGTATACACTGTCACACGTAGTCATTATTATCAATTGATTTTATTGATATGTTACAAAGGAGAGCTCTTTGGTGGGGTTGGGGGGTGGTAAATCTAGAAAAGCTATGATGTCAAGATAGTAGACATCAACAAACTAATTTTTAAAAAAATAATAATAAAGGTTATATCAGATTGTGTTGAGTAACAACATGAAAAGGGTGGGTCCTGATTCTTGGGCCTCAGATGTGAGGCCCATTTAGGTCTCCATCTGCAAACAGCCCTGTACATTTAGCTAGGTACCCAATGGGGAAGGCAAGAGGGGTAAGAGATGGCTTCTGTCCTTTGCTTGAGTGACTGCCTAGAGAAGGGAGCTGAGCCCATGGGATCAATAGCTCTGCTCCAGCCCAGCCAACCTAATTAAACAGCCTTGGGGCCTGGGGATGGAAGTAGGAGAAAGCAATAGCTAGGTCCAAATCTGTAATTAAAGCTGTTCTAGCCACTTACCCTACTGGGGGTGCCACTATCACCTACTCTGAGTGGAGTGGAGTCGATGAGCTGTTCCCAGGTTTCCCCACCCTAACCTGCCCTTGTCTCCACCCTTTGTCCCTCTTTGGCTCACTGGGCAGCAGCAGGTGGCCAGTAGTTTCACTAACAGGAGCAGAGCTATAAAGCTGCTCCCTGTCCTCGCCCTTGACCTTGGGGCCCCAGGGCCCAGTGATGTCAATAGGCACGTGGCTGGGAAGGGGCCTGGCAGAGCCTGGTGAGGCCCATGTGATGGAGACTTATCAATTGGTGCCAGGCCATGCAGCCAGGGTAGGACGTACTCAGCTCACCCTTATGCTCAGACATCCCCAGCCAAGCCCCGAGGAACACATGTCTGACGTGTCCCAGCAACAAGAGGGGAACACCAGAGTCAAGGGGGCAAGAAAGAAACTTGGGAGGCAGAATCTGTGCCTTCCCTAAAGTAATGGCCACGCTTGTTAAGCGTGGTACAGAGGAAAGGGCAGATGATTAGGAGTTGGGAGACCTGGTTTCTGATCTCACCTCTGCTGCTTAACCTGCTTTGTGGCTTGGGGTGAGTCACAGCCCATCTCTAGGCCTGAGTTTCCTCCCCCGTTAAACCTGGAAGTTGGAATCAGGAGTTCTTAACCTGAGGTCCACATTCAAAGAGCACATGGATAGATTCCAAGGGGTCTGTGAACATGGATGGGAAAAAAAAAATACATCTTTATTTTTACTAATGTCTAACTGAAATGTAGCATTTCTTTCAATTATTTAAAGCATTTTTCTGAGAAAGAATTCATCCTCAAGGTTCACCAGACTGCCAAAGGGGCCCATCATACAAAACAGGTGAAGAGCCCAAGCTGGATAATTGCTAAGGTTAACTTCCACATCTGACATACAATGTTGTGTATCCTAAGGGCCCTTCAGCCTCTTCTATTTTGTGTTCCAAAGTCCCTTCTTAGGGACAGAATAGTATAGTAACTAGAGAGAGCTGGTCTCTGTCACGATTTGCCTGTGTGACCCTGGGCAGGTCACATTACTTCTCAGGACACCAGGCAACAACACACGTACCAATCTGCATTGATGGAAGGAGTTTCCTCTCTGGAAATTGCTAATACTAATGAAATCACGTCCGTTTTAAAAAAAAAAAAAGAATAAGGTCCTCTCTGACTGTAAAATTTTGTATTCTATGTTCTTAGAGCCCTTCCAACTCACACACTATGCCTTAGAGTCACTCCCGCTCTGACATTCAAAGATTTTATAACCATATCTGGTGTCAAGCTTTTGTAAAAAGAACTTACAATTCAATCTCTATCAAGTCCTCCTGTATATGTATATGTATGTATGTATGTATATGTATACATGTGCAAAGAGCATATAATGTATGTTGCCTCTGAGGGCAGTATCTGTGTGGTTTTAGCATGTGTAAAAGTATACAATGTGTGTGTATAGTGATAGAGAGAGACGTCGTTGAAATGATGGAAGCCTTGGAGAGGGGAAAGTCTATAGACCTGGCTTTGCCTCTGTTGGTTAGTCATAGAGTGGTTTAGTGGAAAAAGCATTGATTGTGGTGTTAGAAGACCGGAGTTATAGTCCTGGCTCCAATAATTTGCTTTATAACCTTGGGCCATCATTTCACCACTCTAAACCTCAGTTCCCTTAACTGTAAAATGGGGGTAATAATTCATGCCTTTTTCCTGCCTTAAGGTTGTTGTGAATAAAATACTTTATAATATTTAGAACACATGGATTGTTTTTCTTTTCACTATTTCCTGAGTAAATCTGGCTGACTGAGAGGGCATTGGTTCCCTGATGTATAAAATGGGGATGGTAACATTTGCCTCTTCTGTGGGATTAAAGGAGATAATATCCACGAGACACATGGAGCATCTCCTCCAGGCTAGAAGACATGGGCATGTGATGCATCGAGGTTATCTGGTCCAGAAACAATTTGATCTAACAGTCAGAGACTGTCAGAGTCCTAGTCCTTGAACTCCTAGTAACCGCCTTTCTAGATCATGATGGACAAGTTTCTTGACTTCTCTGTGACTCAGTTTTTCCATCTGTCAAATAAAGAGGCTTGTAAGGTCATTTCTATTTCAGATGTTACAAGAAATATCGATTAAATATCTACTAAGAGACTGGGGAGTCAAAGACAAATGAAAAAAATATATATTCCTTGCCCGCAAGGAGCTTACATTCTATAGGGAGGAATGTTCTAAGTCTGAGTGTATGAACCTTAGCTCCATGAAAAGTTGACACTGGCCCCTCACCCTGCCCACCTCCACCACTACCACCACCCACAGACTGATTCAGTCTCTCCTATACTCTGGCTTATATTCTATGATACTTAACTGCAGTCTTTCTCTCTTTGTTGCAGGCACTCTCCCCAACTCATCGGACCTCAGCACTGGCCACATCTGTAAAACTTTGGACTTCTCCCAGAGTGGAGCAGACCCCAGTGGGTCATCAGGGACAGGGGGGAGTCCAAAGATCCAGGGGACCTCCCCGGCCCACAACACCAGTTCCTCAGGGATGACTGCAGGGAGAGTCAACCCTTATAGTATAGTATCCTCAGAAGAAGACGGCTTGCATTTAGCCACAATGCCAGGAGCCAATGGCTTTGGCAATGGTAAAATCCACACACGACGGAAGTGTCGCAACCGCTTTGTCAAAAAGAATGGTCAGTGCAACATTGAGTTTGCCAACATGGATGACAAGTCTCAAAGGTACCTGGCTGACATGTTCACGACCTGTGTTGATATCCGGTGGAGATACATGCTGTTGATTTTCTCTCTTGCCTTCCTGGTTTCCTGGTTGCTCTTTGGAGTGATTTTCTGGGTTATCGCTATCGTGCATGGGGACTTGGAGAGATCCTCAGACGAGAGGAACTACAAGCCATGCATCCTCCAGGTGCATGGCTTCATGGCTGCTTTCTTGTTCTCCATTGAGACGCAGACAACCATCGGCTATGGCCTCCGTTGTGTGACTGAGGAGTGCCCCATTGCCGTGTTCATGGTGGTGGTACAGTCCATCGTTGGCTGTATCATAGACTCCTTCATGATTGGGGCCATCATGGCCAAGATGGCCAGGCCCAAGAAACGGGCCCAGACCTTGCTCTTCAGCCATAATGCTGTGGTGGCCATGAGAGATGGGAAGCTTTGCCTTATGTGGCGGGTGGGGAACCTGAGGAAGAGTCACATCGTAGAGGCTCACGTCAGGGCTCAGCTAATCAAGCCAAGGGTCACCGAGGAAGGGGAGTATATCCCCCTTGACCAGATTGACATTGATGTAGGTTTTGACAAAGGCTTAGACCGCATCTTTTTGGTGTCCCCCATTACCATCCTCCATGAGATCGACGAGGAGAGCCCACTGTTTGGCATCAGCCGACAGGACTTGGAAACTGATGACTTTGAGATTGTGGTGATCTTGGAAGGGATGGTGGAGGCCACAGCCATGACCACACAGGCCAGGAGTTCCTACCTGGCTAATGAGATCCTCTGGGGTCACCGATTTGAGCCCGTCCTGTTTGAGGAGAAAAACCAATATAAGATCGACTATTCTCACTTTCACAAAACCTATGAGGTCCCATCCACCCCCCGTTGCAGTGCCAAGGACTTGGTAGAAAATAAATTTTTGCTCCCAAGCACCAACTCCTTTTGCTATGAGAACGAACTGGCTTTCATGAGTCGTGATGAAGACGATGAGGAGGAGGATGATAGTCGAGGTCTGGACGACCTGAGCCCTGAAAACAGACATGAGTTTGATAGACTTCAGGCCACAATAGCCCTCGATCAGAGATCTTACAGAAGGGAGTCGGAAATCTGACCCCTGCTGGTCCAGTCTCTTCCTCTTCTCTTTTCCCCTACAGTCCACCCAGGTTTATGCAGAACATTGTTAAGTGCCATAGGGATGGTTGAAGATTTTAGTAGTGTCTTAGTAGTTTCACATGTTTCATCGCAATAACCTTGGAAGGGTTGGCAGGGAGAGGGATAAGAAGTCACAAGCAGAGCCCTGAGGGTTTAGACTTCCAGCTCTAGCTGTCTGGAGGGTCTTTCCCCAAGATTCAGTCAGTGGGCTCAGAAGGGGAAAGGTAACGCCGCCCCCAGGGGCTGGACAGGGGCCTCATTCGGCACTCAGGGCTTTTCCCTTGGATGCCTGGTAAGAGAGCAAATAGCTCCGTGAAGTCAAAGGTCACAAAGAATCTCAGTGTTGCATAGCCTGGAACCTAATCAGGTTAGAACAGACTGAGAATTAACCTTACGCCTGGCCAGGAGACACAGTTGAGCTTGCCTGGGGACGGTAGCTGGTGCAATGCTGCACACTGGTTTTTAACTTAGCAGGGAGACATCAGGTTTTTAATTTTTCAACTTAGCGCTGGTGAGACTGTTTACAAAAAAAAAAAACCATATATTAAATTAAAATATAATTCCAAAAAAAGGACATTTTTTAATTAAAAAAAACACACAAAAACCCACAACAGAGCAGAACAACAGAACAGAGCTTCCCTCCCCCCAGTGGAATGGAACAGCCTAAAGGAGGCCCCAGCATCTGGCTGAAGGGGATCAGGGATACACTGGAAGACTTCCTGGGGCAAGAACTGTCTCTTTTTCCTTGAGAAGGCTCCATCCATCCCGGGGAAGTGGACACCAGTTCCCACCTGTGGAATCAGCAACAGCAAGCACAATTATCTACACCATAGCTCGTGTTGCTCATAAGGAAATTTAGATTCCATTTGTAATAGAAAAGCAAAACCATATTAATAACAATAATAAAAACTAAAAAGTATGGCTTGGGGGGGAGGGTTGGGTCAGGGGAAGGGACTGGTCTAAGATCTCTTTGCACCTTAGAGATACATTTCAGTGTGAATCATACCCATCCCCCTTCATGTGGTTTGGAGGCCACTGCTCATTGTTTCCCTGAGCCTTTGGAAATGGTAGGGTTTTGCAACATTGGGTTTTATTTTTATATTTGTTTTCATTTTTTCTTAACTCAACCACCCAACTGTCTGAACCCCAAGAAATCCATGTTACATTTTGAGTTGAGCAAAAAATAGGTTATTGCTTACTCTATCTTGGTCTCCTGAGGCAGTGTGATATAGTGGAAGGAATCTTGGATAAGGAGTCTGTAGGCCTCTGACACTTGTCAGGTAAATCACTTAATCTCCAGAGCCACAGTTTGTTCAGATTGGATTATCTTCCCTGCTCTCCTCTAACTCTAAAATCCTCTGATCTTTCTTCAACAATTGGCAGTTTGGGGATTAATGAGTTGCCACCTTAGATAATCATGCCATGTGTGGAGATGTGTCTGTCAGGATTCCCAAATAGCAGAAGGAAAATCAGGAAGGAAACTGATAAAATGGAAAAACCACACTCTGGTTCAAACCATCTTCACTCTCCAGGCACTTTGAAGTGGGTGGTGCACACAAAGAGACTCAAAATTGTCCGGCTAAAGTTTCTTTTTACCTAACCCTGATTCACCCTTTTAAAATGTTCCATGATGTACCTCCTAAAAAAAAAATCTCATTCTTTCCCCTCTGCCACTCTTTATGTATCCCACCCTCTTGGCAGTGACTGTGGCTCTGAGAAATCAGCAACCAAGCCACATACATACACACACACACACACACACACACACACACACACACACACATACACACAGAGCACTTTGGGGGAGGTTTGTGGAGACGGCCACAGTGTGTCCAGTGTGATGTTGGAGACCTGCCATCCCATCCTCTCTCTACCCCAGAATGCTGGCTATTTTAGAAAAAACAAAAAAGAAGAAGAAGAAGGGAGCATGTATGCTATTCTCTGCCCTTCCCCTGGACGTCCTGGCAGAGGCATTTCCGATATCATCCATTACTAAGTGAAAAGGAAAAGAATTTAGGAAAGGAGTAGTTGGACTTCCTGGTCGTCCCTAACCAACTTAGGTCAGGCGGTATCATCCAGGGCTGGCCAGAAGTAGCAAGTAACTTGACCTGTTAGGAAGACAGATAGATTTGTAGTCAGAGGACCTGAATTCAAATCCTGATTCTGCTGTTTATTGTCTGTGTGACCTTGGGCAAGTCATTTCACCTCTCTGAGCCTCAGTTTCCTCATCTGTAAAATGAGGAATTTGTACTAGCTAGCCTCTGAGGTACCATCCAGCTCTCAGACCAATTCCCCTAAAATGTTCAGTGTTTAGCCTTAAAGCCTCCTGCTAATTCTCTTTGTTCCCTGCCCACCCTTCTAGTGCCTACTAATGTCCAAGTCTGATCACTTCATGCAGACTTAATATGTAACCTCCCCCGACAGTGTTTCTATGTAATTTAAAAGAAGCACACAAGAAGAAGGCAATTCTTAGCCCAAAGGAATGTATTTCTAGTAGAATTTGAGGCACTGGGGCCAGAGATAAATTTGGGCAGGGGGTTATTCCCAGCATCTATGTCAGTAGCCACCTCTTCTGTCTATATATGAGACCATTTATTATTCTCTGACGGACTCCCAGAATGAGCCAGCTGGCTGGCCACAGGAGCCCTGAGATAGAGTTACAATGTTTCAGGGCTGGTGACCAAGTGCCATCTGTCCCAACTCTGGCCCAGGAGGCTTCAGAATCCAGACCCAGCAGAGGAGTGGGAAAGGGTTTTCTTAGGTGACTGGAGGTCAGTGAATAGACATTCCAAACTCTACCAAACTCTACCAAACTCTGGGAATGTTTGTTCTGGAGTTTGGCTTCATTTTCAACTTCTTTCCCCCTGACTTGGGAAAATAAACAAACAAACAAACCTGGAATGTCAGATCTTGAAGGAGTCTGAGAGGTTATATAGTGTAGTCAACAGAAGAGGCTAATCAAGACCAGAGAGGTCAAGAGGCTTGCAAGTGGTCACACAACACATTAGGGTCAGGACCAGGACTAGGACCTAGGATTTCTGGCTCCAGATCCACAATTAATTCAATGCAGCTGACTTTTTTTTCCTTTCTTTTTTCTTTCTTTTTTTAACAGGAGGGGCGGGAACAAAGGATCTGAGGGAAGGGGGAGGTGGAGGGTAGCGTTTGCTTTCCCTTGCCATTCATATAGGGACAATCCATGTCCTTTCTCCATCTCCTTTCTCTCCAAGGCTCAGCCCTTGACTCTGTCTCCACCCGCTTCTTTGTAGCCAATCTCAGACTCTCCTCCCCCTTGAGCTTCCCCATGAATGATAACCATATGACACTGGACCCATCTTTGGTATTTCCAAGGCAGGAAATAGATGCCTGCCTGGTCTCACCCATTCCAGCTGTCTCAAGACCCAGCCACAAAGGCGGGAGCTGACTTCCCACTTCCTTTCTACAGTCTGGGATAGCTTAAGCAATAGTAAGAGGGTGGGAGGGGACATCTTGGGTGGGGGGAGGAAGGTGGGTGCAGAGGGACAGGGTTCTCTTATTTATTTTTAAATTGTTTTTAGGCTCTTTCCAAGGTGCAAAAATGCTGCTGTAAGTGTTCTTAGAGGCTTGATGATTTCTTAATCTACAAGACGTGACTAAAGAATAATAAGAATGATTTTTTGTTAAAGTAATAAACACACCAGAATTTATCCATCCAAATTTGATTCAATCCAACTGAATAGATATTTATTAAAGCCTACTTGGTGTTGGGGCAGCTAGGTGGAGCAGTGGTTAGAGTTCCATGCCTGGAGTCAGGAAGACTCATTTTCCTGAGTTCAAATCTGGCCTCAGACACTTACTAGCTGTGTGACCCTGGGCAAGTCACTTAAACCTATTTGCCTCAGTTTCCTCATCTGTAAAATGAGCAGGAGAAGGAAAGGGCAAAACCACTGTAGCATCTTTGATAAGAAAACCCCGAGTAGGATCACAAAAAGTCAGAAATGACCGAACAACAACAAACAGAGTTGAGCATTGTGCTAGGCACTTGTGGGGGGAGACTAAGCTTGACTAAGTCCTTGGGTCGTCCCCTTCAAGGCAGTCAGTCCCCTGGGAGGCCACCACTGCCATTTCTCCAGCCATTGTTGGTGCTCGTCTTTGGGATTTGCCATCAGAGCCAATTTATAAGCCAAGAAGAACCTTAGTTCATAGAAACATACATTTAGATCTGGAAGAGATCCTTGAGCTCTTCTAGGCCAACCCTCTCATTTAACAGTTGAAGAAACTGAGGCCCAAAGAGTTGAAGTGACTCGCCCAAGGTCACACGAGTAGTGTACCAGAGCCAGGATTTGAAAACAGGTCTTCTGAGTCCAAATCCACTGTTCTTCCCACTGTACCACAGTGCCTCTCATGACTTCATAGTCATCATGTATGGTGCGATTGGGGTGGTATGTGTGTGAGTGTTTTTAATAAGATTTCCCAGCCTGATCCCCAACCTTAATCGCAGGTCTTGGTGCAGTGAGGCCATTAGTTGTTTGGGAAGAAAATCAGAGGGGAAGGAAAGGGAGGAGGACAGAAGAAAATGTGCCTGCCCTGAGGAGATGCCAAAGAATGTGGCCCACACTCTAAAGGCGGTTTCTGAAGTGGGGCACCCTCTGAATAGCTCTCCTTGGATCAAGGATCATCCGATTCAATTCAGTTCAGCGGCTTTGAAGAAGATTCATTGGGGTGGATTGATTCTGGTCTGTTTCTTCAGTCATCGGCCTCCACACCTCATCATCACCAGCCCTGTCTCGTGGTGAATATTTGTTTAAAGAGATAAAAAAGAGAGAGAGAGAGATACCTTTTAAGTACATTATTGCTTTTTAAAGTTTTGGTTGTATAGTCTGAACTGAGAGAAATAGAATTATAGAGATATATGTATATACATATACATATATGTGTATGTATGTATGTATTCTTAACTTCTGGGTAGATACAAATTTGTCTGTGGGAAAGGTAGGCCAGCCTGATACCTGTCTTCCATTCTCGATTTCCATCTACACCTCTTTCCGAAATGGAGCATACCAAACTGGGAAGCAATGGTCCTATATGATGTGTAGTTCTAGAAATGGAATGTGATGTCATGTGATGTAGAAATCTGAAAATGAATATTGGGGGCAGGAGGGGGCTGCCTGTGAGCACCATAAGTGACTGGTCTCTCTACATACAATCTCCTTTTGTGAGATAGAGTTTCTGAATAGGGGAGAGAGAGAGTCAATAGGATGATCACCCTAATTAAAGGTTTGGCTGAAGGAAGTGTTCTGAATTATTTCTCATTAGGCTAGAATTGACAAGCCATTGATCAAACCAAGGAAAGGAGCCTAACCTTTGAGAGGCATAGCCTAGAGGTAGGACCAAACCCTGCCCTTGGGCAAAAGGCATCATTGCTTTTTTTTTTTTTTTTTTGGCAAGGCAATGGGGTTAAGTGACTTGCCTAGGGTCACACAGCTATTAAGTGTCAAGTGTCTGAGGCCGGATTTGAACTCAGGTTTTCCTGA